GCGTCCCCTGCCCCCCTGGCACCTACCAGGAGAAGGAAGGGCAGCTGTCCTGCGACCTGTGTCCCCGCGGTGATGCTTTCGGACCGGTGGGAGCCACCAACATCACCGGCTGCACAGGTAAGGGGGGCACGGAGGGGCGGCGAAGGGCCGGGAGAGACACCCAGGGGATGCCCAGGGCTGCAATCTCAACCATCAGCCGTCAGCCCCCATCCAGAAGAGGGGATAGCCCCGAGCATCCCGGACCCGCAGAAGTTGCTGTTTTGGGCAATTAGAGGGGACCCCGGGAAGGGCAGCGCTTGCTCCGGATTTATTGGTGCTGCCAAGGCTGGGGCGGGGAGAGGAGCTGGGCATGGGGTGGGAGAGCCCAGGGCACGCCGGGTGCTGGGACTGAGCGATGCCTGTGCCCGCAGGTCAGTGTCCCCCCGGCCAGCACTCGGCCGATGGCTTCAAGCCCTGCCAGCCGTGTCCCCGCGGGTCCTACCAGCCCGAGGTGGGGCGGGCGCTCTGCTTCCCCTGCGGCGGGGGGCTGAACACGCGCCACGAGGGAGCCTCTCCTTCCAGGACTGCGACACCAAAGGTAGGTCGGAGCCGGTCCCTGGGGAGGGGGGCATCCAGTCGGACCGTGCCGACGGCTGACACAGCCCCCTTTGCTCTCCCCCCCCCAGTCCAGTGCTCCCCCGGGCATTACTACAACACGAGCGTCCACCGCTGCATCCGCTGCACCGTGGGCACCTACCAGCCTGATTTTCGGCAGAATTACTGCATTGCCTGTCCCGGCAACACCACCACCGACTTCGACGGCTCCACCTCCGTGTCCCAGTGCAAAAGTAGGCAAGCTGGGGTGCGATGGAGGGGGCGACAGGCATGGCGTGAACTGGGGTCCTTCCTCAAAATTATTTTTAAATCCCTTAAAATACAGTTTCGGGTAATTTCTGTGCTTTATGCATGCAGGCAGGCATGGGGGTACGCTATGAGCAGTGCTAATAGAGAACTTCCCCCCTGTGCCCAGTAAACCCCCCCCAGTCCCAGTGCCCATGCCACTGGTTCCCAGTTGAACCGGCTCTCCGTGCCTTGCAGACCGGCAGTGCGGGGGGGAGCTGGGCGAATACACGGGCTACATCGAGTCCCCCAACTATCCGGGGAATTACCCCGCTAACGTCGAGTGCACCTGGAACATCAACCCGCCGCCCAAGCGCAAGATCCTCATCGTGGTGCCGGAGATCTTCCTCCCCTCCGAGGACGAGTGCGGCGACGTCTTGGTCATGCGGAAAAACTGTAGGTAACCGAGCGTGCTGCGGTGCTCACGGGAGAAGCCGGGGGAGGAAAAGGCTGGGGTTCGGCAGAGCTGCCTTGTGCAAAGGGAGAAAGCCGTGGCCCCGGGCGGCAGGAGGGGATTTTTGGGAATTGGGTGAGCAGGGGATCGGCATCGCCCTGCCATCCCGGTGTCTTGCTGGATCAGGGGGATGTGCGTGGGCTAAGCGTGGGCTGGGTTGCACACCTGGGTCTCAGCATTTCTTTTTTGGGATAAAAAGCCCTGTTCGGAGCTTTCCAGAGCAAGGAAGGAATAACAACATCCCCAGTATGTAATGTGAGGACTGGGGGGGGGCTCAGCCTCGGTGAACACGGACAATCCCCATCCCTGGTTGCCCCCTTTCGCCATGAGCATTTAAGCACGGTAAAGCTGGGGGTAGCTCCGCTGATGGGCATCCGGCATCACGCATCCCCTCGCCGTTCCCTGCAGCCTCCCCGTCCTCCATCACCACCTACGAGACGTGCCAGACCTACGAGAGGCCCATCGCCTTCACCGCCCGCTCTCGGAAACTGTGGATCAACTTCAAAACCAGCGAAGCCAACAGCGCCCGGGGCTTCCAGATCCCCTACGTCACCTACGACGGTGAGTACAGGGGGGGACGCCATCCCGGCATGCCGATGCCTCCCTGCCCGCTTTTGTACCCGGGTCACCCCCAATTCACACCTCCCAAGTATTTGGGGGGGCAGACTCAGGGATGGGGACCAGAGGTTTGGGGACAAGTGACAGCTCGTGCCCTGATCGTGTTGTTTCGGCTGGGTGTTGCAGAGGACTACGAGCAGCTGGTGGAGGACATCGTGCGGGACGGCAGGCTCTACGCCTCCGAAAACCACCAGGAGATCCTCAAGGTGAGCATGTCCCCACGGGGTCCTCGCTGCCCGGGGCTCCGGGGGATGCTGGCATGCAGGAGCATCCTTCCCTTCGGGTGTGCCCCATGCCCTCCCTGCGCTCGTGGCTTCGGTTCGGAGCCGCTGCAGGATGACCACGGGGTGGGATGGTGACCCCCCCTCTGGCTTGGCTTCCCCACAGGACAAGAAGCTCATCAAAGCTTTCTTCGACGTGCTGGCGCACCCCCAGAACTACTTCAAGTACACGGAGAAACACAAGGAGATGCTGCCCCGCTCCTTCATCAAACTCCTCCGCTCCAAAGTCTCCAGCTTCCTCCGGCCTTACAAATAGCACCCGCGCCCCCGCCGCCCCCGGGCCGCCCCGCAGCCAAGGAAAACCTCTTCTCCCTTCCTTTTCCTTTCCGATTTTCTCCTTCCTCTGCTCGGCTCCGGCAGGACCGCCACCTCTCGCCCCGCAGATGTCCCCCCACGATTTCTCCGCCGCTCCCCGCAGACGGGGCCCCGCCCGGGGGGGGGGGAAGCTCCGGTCTCATCCAGCCGTCGGCGAAGCCGCTCCTCTCTTCCGAAGCAGCTTCTTCGTTTTAGGAAACCGAAGCACCGGTCCTTTCACCGGCCTCTGTCCTCCCTTCGGTTTCCTTTACGCCAGGTCTGTCCCCGTTCCCCGGTGCCGCCTCCAGCCCGGGATGTTGGGGGGGGGGTCATCGTCCTTCCAGCCCACGGGGCTGGCACCAGCTGCAGCCCCACCGAGCTCTTTTGCAGAGGATGGCAAGAAGGTAATGCTGTATTTATCGCAGCGCCTGGGTTGTGGGTATCGACATCGCTTTGCAGAGATCGGGGGAAAAGAATTTTGAAAAAGCATACTTGATTAAAAAGAAAATTTAAAGGAGAGATCGGCAAAGCACGCCAGCGAACGGCAACCGTGGTGGCTCCGGTGGCCGTCCCGCCGGAGAGCCGCGCTGGTGCTGGGAGGAAAGCATAGCCAAGCCACGTTCCCGGAGAACAATGTCTGGCTGCACGGGAGAAAACAGGGAGCAAAGGAGAAGGACTTTCAGCCGGGTTCGTTTGTTTTTTTTTTTTTCCCCCCACCCCAGACACTTGTGCCAAGAAACCAGACTTTCTTACAAGCTCTGCCAAAGAGTAACTCGGAAAAGCAAGCTTTGTGAAGAGCAGGAGTCAATGTTTGTGCACTAGGATATCCTCCTTTCTACCTTTTTCATATGTATTAAGTGCAATCATTTGAGTCTTCTTTATATTATTTAGAGGGAAGTGTTTTTTTTCTACTAGAAACGACAATATTTATACCTGCCTGAGAAACGAGAATGTGCGTTTGTAACAAAAAAAAAACCAACAACAAACAAAAAACCACCCACCCAAAGCAAACCCAGCCCTGGGCTGCCGCTGACCGGCGGGATGCCGTTTTCAGGCCTTGCAACCTTTTCTGCCGTGTTTGTCCCCGATAAAAACCCCTGTTCAGGGGGGGAGATGGTGCCTCTCCTGCTCGGCGTGTGATGGGGTGAGTTTTTGCAGGGCGTTTGAGGTGTCTCGGTCCGTCCACGGAGGAGATGGAGCGGCTGGGATGGCTGTGCGCTTTCGGGCTGATCCTCCGCGGTTGGTGGGTTGTTCAAGCCCCGTTGCGAGGAAGGTGCAAAACTCGGCCCCATCACCTGCTTGTTGCAAACCGGTTTGCTTCCCTGCAGGGGCTCAGGGACGAGCCAAGACCCCGGGGGAGACCGGGGGCAGGTCCCAAGGCAGGGTCTGGGGGGCACCCT